AAAAATGGGGTAAAAAGGGCAAGAATCTTACCCTTGAAGACCTTCTTCACAATGATCACTCCAGCAGCTTTCTTAGCTCCAAAACAGCTCAAGAACTTCAAGGACAGCCCCCTAATGCCTCAGCAATCAAGGTAAGGTGTAATGGTAGGTGTTCTATTGCAAAACTAAGGACAAACACACACTTAGAGCAAAAAAGAGGGAGAAATAGAGATAGAATAGATACACTATGCTAACCCCAGAACCAGAGCTCCCTTGGGATTTTTTGTAACCCTACAGGAGGGAGGAGAGGCCTCCTCTTTATAGAAGATCACTCTTGCAAAGCTTACAAAACAAGCTTGGCAAGAGTGAAATCCCTCCATACACGTGTATGGAGGGGGGAAAAGGTGTATGCCAGCTAGCACAGCTGGCATAAAAATATCTATAAAAGCAGATGCACAGTGATCGGCCAGCCAAAAATGCTATTTTGACAAAATAAATGGCCGACCGACCATCTAGAGTGCCGACCGGCCAAACATCTGGCCGATGGCAACAAAACCCTGGCCGATGGCCTCAAGCCATGGCCAGTGATGTGTGGGGATGGCCCATAAGCCATTCCCTGCCCCTCCAAGGCAAAACACAAGTGTTTGGTGCAAAACCAAAAACAAAACAGTCAAGTCGAGAGGTCTTGAGGGTGTGCGAGAGATCCTGAGGCAAGACGCCAGTTGGCCGAGACCTCCGCAGGACCCAAGACGAACACAAACGTGGATGTCACCGAGTGTTCAAACGGTGACGTCCAAGTTTTGAGAAGCGGTACAAAAATGGAGGTGTCTACATTAGGCCCTCCACGAGGCTCTAAGCGTTAAGGAGTTGTTATAACCCCAATAAAAGAACAATGGAGGACTCAACCTAAGCATTGAACGACGCGATCTCGAAGGTTCTGTATCCTATTCAAATGGGGATATAAATAAACCCCCCGAATGGAAACTACAAAAACCCTGCCCTAGTTAATTAGCTAGCTCGCACTCATATTTAAAAATTAACATTAGTAAAATGCTTTATGATAACACGTGTTGAACAAAAATGACAAAAGATTAAAATATTGTAAAATAAAAATATTCAAGAACAAGGAATTGGTTGTCCAAGGTTATACAGAATTCCAAATTCAGTTTTTTTTTTTTTTTTTTTTATTTATATTGAATTTTACTAACTGTGTTTTGTAATTAGGACTTTGATCTTAAATTTTGAATCTCATTTTAAATAAAAATAATTGAAGATATTATTATTCTATTTCAAAGGTAAAGTCATCAATTTGATAAAATATAAATTAATTTAACAAAAATAAATGTCAAAAATTTATTTTAAAATTTTTAAAACTTATTTCTATCACCAAAGATAAAATTATATAAAAATGATAACTATTGTATATTTTTATTGGAATTTTTATTGATAAATCTTATTTAGGAGTGTTTTAACCTAAGAAATCCATAAAGAAAATTTATAACCTACTTAGTCCCATGTATTTATACATTTATACCATAAGGTCCTTTTTATTGATTTACACTATTGTCTTAGACTCTTATACGCTTATATTTAATGTTGATATACATTACACACAAAAATTAAACATAGTTCTCTATTGATTGTCATTATATTTTGGTAGTTCCTATGCATCCAAATGTTGATTGTGCGTGATGATGTGAATGTCCACATTAGATGACGTGAATGTGAATGTTCACATCAGATGACGTGAATGTTCACACTAAAACATATAAATGTGAATACAAATGTTAATGTTCATAATGTTAATATCAGATAACGTGAATGTTCACACTAAAACATATAAATGTGAATACAAATGTTAATGTTCATAATGTTAATATCTATATTCTAGAATGAATACAAATGTTAATGTTCATAATGTTAATATCTATATTCTAGAATTCATGTAAACATTCACATTTATATGTTTTAGTGTGAACATTCACGTCATGTTTATATTCAAATGAAAGTTGAGGCTTGTAGTTGTGTAATTTGATGCAATGCCGATGTGAATCTTAACATCACCTTTATCACAACGTCATCTGATGTGAACATTCATGTCATTTAACGTGAACATTCACGTCATCACGTACAGTCAGCATTTTGATGCATGAGAACTATAAAAACATAATGACAATCAATGATGCATGTGAACTACTAAGGAAGTGATTGAAATCTCTTCCAATCACTACCCCCACCACCCTCGCACACATGTGGGGACTAGTGATTGGAGGAGAAGAAAAAAGAAAAGAAAAGGCCAATCAGAGAGAGAGGGGGTCGCGAGGGTGCCCCCTTGTGGGGGTCTAAGTCATTTTTCGGAACTACTAAAACATGATGACAATCAATAAAAAATTATGTTTAATTTTGTGTGTGTAATATATATCAACATTAAATAGTGGTGTGTAGTTAATGCATTTTTTTGGAGCGAAGATATAATGATAATCAACATTACATATCAACACTAATCGGGCATGAGAGATTTAGGGTGTTTTGATCTTCTTATCTCAAATAGGACCTAATGGAATAGTCAAAAAGAATATGAGTTGGATGAAATAAAACTCTTAGAAAAGAGATTTATCAAAAAAGCTCCCATTTTTATTTGTTTGCCAAATTAATTTTTAGTATGTGTTTAGATGATAATTATGTAATGAATGTTTGTTTTTGTTGATGTTTTTGAATGATTATCATGTAATAAATGATTGTATTTGTTATTAAGGTTTCGTTTGGAAAGTGAGTTGATTTTTTGATTTTTTTGGCTATTTTAGTCTGAGGCTAAAAAGCCTTGTTTGGAAATGACTTTTGGCCTTTTTGACTTTTTTGTGAGAGAAAAAATGTAATAATTATGGGTTAGATGTGCTGTTTTGTCTTATTGGGCTAAGAAACCTATTTTGTTTTTTGTAACAATTTAGCCAAAAAAAATTCTCAAATCCAACTTCCCAAACATAGGCTAACAAATACTCTTGAATTGTTATAATGTAATGGATGATTATTAAGCTTTTAATGTGTAATTGATATGTTTAATATATGAAATGCTTTTAGTTTTAAATTTTTTGATTTAATAGACTGAGTTAATAATGACATTAAAGTTGTTACCATGTCTAATTTTTGAAAAAAAAAGAAACAAATTTAATGAAAATAAATATATAACAAAATTATTTTAAAAAGTTATTTCTACCATCTCAAAAAATAAAATTATATAAAAACTTGTTTGGTTTATTTTTGGGAGAGTTGTTTTTGAAAAAAATTTGGGAGAGTTGTTTTAGAATTTTTTTTGGTTTGTTTGATTGTATATTTTGAAAGTAATTTTGGAGTTTGGGAGTTGGAGATGATTTGATATTTTGTTGTAATTGAGTAGATATGTATGAGAGAAAAAGTGATTGAGAACAAGAGAGGAGAGAGAAAAAGTGATTGATTGATGTATAAGAGAGAGAAAGTGATTTTGAAAATTTTTTGAGAAAAATCTCAAACCAAACAATTTTTTAAATTTTTTTTTCTAAAACTCAAACCAAACATATCATATGTTTTAAATTTTTTTCACCAATTTACTTTTTAGTTTCTTAGAAAAATTTTCTGAAAACCAAATTAAATAAAACTTTTTAAGTAAGAAAGTTTCAACATTATTCATTAAAAAAGGTCATTACATTTTAAATAACATATATGTTAACCAACATACAAAAAAATAAATAAATAAATAAATAAAGTTATATACTTTACCTTTGAAGTGGATTGTGTCAACAAAAAAAAAAAAAATTTTGATTTTCTTTATATGAAAAAAGATTCAAAATTTAAGATTAAAATTAAAAAATTAAAACTCAAAATAACATTAGTCTCAAATTACAAGGATTCGTAATTTGTTTTATTTTTTAGGATAACTTATAAATACACCTTTTAAGATTTGATTAAAATATAAATCGCTCATGTGGTTCTGAAAATTATATTCTACCCCCTGAGATTTCTAATTTCATAACAAATCGCCTATTTTATTAATAAATTATCAAACCAATTAACAGTTTTAATGATATTATAAATATGTTTCAATTAATAATTTAGGTAATTTTATTATTGTATAGAAGAACAATTATGAATTTTTTTTTTTAGTGAATTCTGTTAAATAATTTTTTTTAACCAGCAGTATTTGTAATTGAGTTATGTTAGGGATCTCGAATGAATTACTACATATTTTATCAAACCTCTCACATGGTTATGGGACCTACACAAATCACATGTGTGTGAGTCCCATATTCATATGAGAAGTTTGGTAAAATATTTAGGATCTATAATATTTTCATTTGTAATTTTTTAAACTATAAAAAAACAATGTATACTTTAAACAAATCTTAAATAATGGGTATGTTTGGTTTGTGTTTGAGAGATGTGTTTTAGAGATAAAAAGTACGAAAACATGTTTGGTTTGGTTTTTTTTAAAAGATGTTTTGGAAAATTATTTTGAGATAGAGTTTTGGAAAAAGTGATTGATTTGATGTGTGTGAGAGAGATATTTGTTTGGAAAACTTGTTTGGTTTACAAGTTTTGGGAAATTTTTTTAGGAAAATTTGTTTGGTTTGGTTATTTTTGAAAACTTATTTGTAGAAAAAATTTCCCAAATTTTTTTCAGAAAATCAAACCAAACGAGCAATATATTTATAACTCTATTTTTTACGAAAACAATTTTTTTTTTTTTTTTTTTTTTAAAAAAAAGGAGCTGCAAAGATTGATGCTTTTTTTATTTTTATATTATTTATTTGAATTTCCCAGAAATGACTAACCGACAACAAAACTTCTTCCCCAATCCATCTCTCTCCCGCCACTCTCCCCAATCTCCACTGCCACGTCACTCCTCCACTACTCTCCTCCCACGTGTCACCCCTCCATGCCATCCTGTCACTCCCCCCACTCTCTCTCTCTCTCCCCCTTCCCCCTCAAGTCCACACACACCATATATACACACACACCGCATCCTCTCTCCACCCAGTACTTGAACTCTCTAAAACAACCTCTCTCTCTCTCTCTCTCTAATATCTGTACGTCGCAGTACTCTCTCTGTACGTCACCCTCTCTCTATATATGTATATATAGGCCATGTATAGAGATCTGTAGAGAAGCTGATTATAGTGGTTTCTGTGGTAGAGATGGAGGAAGAGAATAGGAAGAGGCCGGTAGAGGAAGAAGACGACTCAGGAAGAGAGGTTGTTGTTGTTGTCGCCGGAAAACGAGCTCGAACTCCGGCGATCTCAGACGACAGCTTCAAGACCAACACAGACAACGACGATGAAATGATATCGTCGTGGTTGTGCATTGACGAGGAGTCAGTGAGCGAGCTCGCGAAGCTTCTGGAAACTGAGGTCACTTCTCCGGTCAAAGTCAAGTTCATCGACGATCCCTACTCGTCGGCGCTCATCTTCCAGTCATCGTCGTCGTACATCACTATCAACGGCAACGAGGAGTCCTGCGGATCTTCCTTCTCCGACTCCGACTCCTCCGTCATGGCCAGCATCGACACAGGAGGTATCAACATTGGCTTTCTCCGGGCGGCCTGGGGTTTGAATGCCGCGGCGGCGGAGGGGGAGTGTAGTCAGGGTTTTTTGGGGGTCAAAGGAATGGACGGCTTTGATTGTTGCGATTTGGATGAGGAAATGTTGGCGAGGTTTCTGGGTGAAGACTTTTTGGAGTGAAAAAGAAAAAAAAAAGGGGGGGAAATTGTAAATAGGGTTTTGATAGGGTTTTAATGGTGGGGAGGTTAAGGAAATGTGAATGTAGAAGAGAGAGAGAGAGAGAGGGTTGTGCACAAATATGAATATAGAAACAGAAAAGTGTACTTAACAGTGAAAAGGTTAAAAGAGAAAGAAAAGAGAAGGAAGACGTTTGTCTTTTATTGAATTTTTGTTTATGCAGGTGCAGGCTGCAGCTGTCCTGTGGGTATTACCTCTCTTTCTCTCTCTTTTATTTTGTTTTTTTATTTTTTAAAATCAATCATGGGAGTGTAAATCAACAGAATTGTTCATGAATATGTTGAAGTTCAATTCGACTGACCCAGGAGTGGGTGGGATTGTGATTAAGGTCGGACGGTTAAGTCTTTAGGTTAGAGCATTTTCAATGGTTTATCAAAAATTTTATTAAATTTGTGTAAAAAAGTGACTTTTTTCTCATTTTGATATGGAGGGTTCCAATAGTTCATCAAATTTGCGCCGGGACAACCGGTTAGTCGACCGATGAAGGTAAGATTTTTTTTTTAAAAAAATTGTTTGAACCTTTTCAGTGAACTGTCTGAATCTTTTTCCAGGACGATCGGCCGGTCGACCGGCTGGTTGACCGGTAAGACAAATTTTTTTTTTTTTTAATTGTTTGAACTTTTTTTTTGAACTGTTTGAACCCTTTAGTGGTCGACCGGTTGGTCAACCGGCTGGTCGACCGATTGGTCTCTCCCAACGGTCAGGAACAGTGATTTGGTGAAATGCTGCGCCTGTTTTCATTTTGGTGAAAGGTTTGGTGAATTTTCGATTTGATATCGATTTAGGGAAACTGTTGGAGTTCAAAAGAGTGGTTTTTTCACCCAATTTTAAATTTGATGCCAGGTTTGATGAAGCGTTGGAGATGGTCTTATAGAGTTAATTCTCTATTTTGGATTAATTTTTTGGGCAAAACATAGTTGGTTAGGAAGTTGAACTTCAAGTTGTTTAATCAGTACTTTGTGTCGGTTCAATACTTTCTCACTGTACGAATCCTAACTTAACTGGAGCTTGTCTTGGGAGGTCGGGACAAGTTCTAAGATTATAGTCTTTTTGCTCGGAACGGTTAATAGAACACCCCGATGATCTCTCCAAGGGATGCTGACTTGGATCTATGCGAAAGTAGGGAGGATTTTCCTGTAATAAAAAAATAAATAAATTAAAGTTCAATTCGATAAGGGTGAGTTTAAACTCGTTTCGTTTAATTTTTATTTCGTTCGAATTTAAATTTAATTTTTTAAAATTTTAATAAATAAAATTTAATATATTAAATCTCGACTCATTAATTCAACTGTTAATGAATTCGTTTAACATTTATTTAAATAGTAAAATAAATATATTATTTCTATATTAAATAATATAAATATATGCATGAAAATTAAGAAGATATGTTATTTATATATATTTAAATAATATAAATGTAAATAATAGTTAAATTTATTTATATGCAAATAATAATTAATCATAGCTAATACATTTATACAGGTTCATTTTGAGAAGTTAAAAATTAATTTTTTTATTTTTTTTTGAAAAAATGCGTAAAAAAATAAAGAGGTGATATAATTTTAAAAAGTAAAAAAAGTTAGCTTATAACCAGTTGTCAAAATAGACCATAATATTAGGACTAGTTTGGCATGTACTAAATAAGCCAAAAAGTTAAAAAGTCACTATCTTATTTAAGTCACATCATTTTATTTAAATCACATCACATCTCTAACATATCACATCAAACCCAACCCAAACCCAACCCAAACCCACCAATAAGTCAAAAAGTGCACTTTTTTAGGACATCCCAAACCAACCCTTAATTGATGAAGTAGAGGAAAGTTCGTGAACAAGTTTTAGTTTGAGTCAAGTCTAAACTAACTCTATTTTAGTTCGATTAATTAAATTTTTATTAAAATCAAATTTAAATTTGTATTGATTAAAATGTTAATAAATAAATTTAAAAATACTAAAATTCTACTCGACTGGATTTATTTGCAATTCTAATCAACCAGCAGTAGAGGCATTAACCACACAAAGCTTTGACCACTGTTTTTGCAGCCTTTTTTTTATTATTATTTATTTATGTACAAATGTTTTTATTTTGAGTAATGATATTCACGTGGGTAGGGTTGTGCAATTTCTACATACGGGGACCTTCTTCTATTTTGAATGGATTACGAGATAATTATAGGTTTAAAGAGTGATTTTTTAATTAAAATATAAAATGAAAAAAAATAAAATATTTGAAAATGATTTTTTAATTTTTTATAAAAAATAAAAATGTAAAAAGTAAATAGAAGAGAATAAATGTGTTACTTTTTATATGATTTTTTGATTTTATAGGTTTTTTAAAAAAAAAAACTAAAATACCTTCTTTTCAAACTCAACATAAATTAATTACGTAACATAATTTTTTATAGTTGGATAAGTTGATTAATTTCTACTCATATTTTCAAAAATTAGTATGCCATTTTTATTTTTTTTTTTATAGAAACTACGGTGACAAATGAGTATATGTAAATTTGGCATTTTAAAATAATAAATGTTACTCAATATGTTAAATTTATTATTTTTTTATTTTTACTTAATTTCTTTTTATTCGTTTCTTGTTGGCTGAATTTAAATTAACAGACTAGTAAAAAAATTTGACATATTGTAGCTAGTTGCCAAATTTGGCATACCTCGAGACATGTGAATTGTAAACTCAGATATAGGCAATTCGGGTGGAGTTGTTCCACATGGCAATTTGAGCCTTTGCAATTGTTACATTAGATTTAACATTTTAGGTGGAGATACTCTTATAAGATAAAAAAATAACTTAATTAGTGTGCTTTGTAATATTTCATTAGTCGGAGTATTACATAGATAATATTATATAAAATTCAATAATTATGTAATAATTTTCATTGCTTAGATGGTGTAATAGTCATTGTATTTATATAGGAGATGATTATTTGTAATTAGTAGAGATTGTCACATGATATCATAACCATTCATATGTAATATGGTGTTGCTAATATAATCCTAATTTATTATTTGGACTCCCACATACTCAATATATGTATATAATTTTGTCTCAATCTCTTATTTACCAAACCTTTCATTTATTTACACCCCCAACCACCAACTAACTATTCATCCCCATAGAGTTTTTTAGGTAATAATTCATTTTTTTTAGGTAAGAATTCATCCCCATAGAGTTGCCACCATAATTCCTTCCCTAGAGCTAGTGCTTGTAGGTGGTTGTTTAAGTTTGAGGGAGTGGAGTAGTTTTTTTAGTATAGAAGTTATGTTTGGCCATTAGTTAAAATAGTTAAAAAAAAAAAGAAAAAAAAAAGAAAAAAATTTACTCATTCTCTCTATTTATTTTTTTTCATATCGTTTTACAAAAAACTAAAAAATTATTAAAATAATCAATTTTTAGTCGAATCTTAAGTCATTCCAAAAAAAATTTAAAATTTGTTTGTTAAAGTCCAAAGAATTATGTGAATGTTATTAGCAACACTTTACGAATATAATTTGTCTCATTAGTACTATCCTTTCTTAAAAGATGACATTATCTCTTAAAAGGTGATTATTATCTCGTCACTTCTTTGCTTTTGTTTTGCCGACGCTATCTTCCTAATTTTGCTTGTTTCAAAAAAAATAATTAGGATGGGACACCACAAATCAAAACATGTTCCAATTGTCATTTCCACACATGGGCGGGCTAGTTATTTTTTGGGCAAATTACATATGCTCCCTCGAGGTTTGGCTAAATTACAGATACCTCTCTGAGGTTTGAGAAATTACGAATTTCCTCCTGAATGTTATATTTGTATTAGAAATTAGGGGGTAATTTGTTATGAAATATAAACATCAGGGGGCAAATTATTATGAAAATACAAACCTCAGGGGCGCGGGATGTAATTTTTGAAACCTCAGGGGTATCTGTAATTTAGCCAAACCTCGAGGGGTATATGTAATTTGCCCTTATTTTTTTTAACCCAAGGATTGTGGCATTGTGATAAGGTCTTGGGGTTTAACTTAAACCCCAAGGTCACAAGTTTAATTTTTCTCTTGGGCCAATCTCCTGGGCGAAGCACTGTTGGTTAAGAGGTTGGATCTCAAGATGCCTAATCAGCTACTTGGTGTGGGTTTAATACTCCCCCACTGTGCGAGTACTGACTTAATCGAAGCTTACCTTGGGAGGTCGGGACAAGCTTCCAGGTTATAGTCTCTTACTCGGAACGGATAACAGGACACCCTGGTGATCTCCTCATGAGGCGCTGCCTTGGACCTGCGGGAGGGTGGGAGGATTTCCCTTATTTTTCTATTTATTTCAGTTAACTCTGTATAAAACTGTTTACAAGCATCTAATTTACTACCATGAGATGTATGAAAAGGTTGCAAAAATTGTGTACAAGGAACACTGGAAAAGTACCAATTGTTATGACTGAACTATTTCATTTCAAGATGGAATCTATAATAGTTCATGTTGATTCATTTTCTTTATCTTCTCTACTAATAGGACTGGATTCTGCAGTATGATCCCCCAGATGAGCCCATGGTGCTTAACTTTTTTCCTTGGTTAAAATAGAACATCCGATGGATTTTTTTATTTGTTATATTGTCATTGACGTCATTTTTGCTACTACATTGAATACTTTTGTTAGATTTGCCTTCTCTAAATATAAATAATTCATTATTTGACTTGACTCAATTTGCTTACGTACTTACACCAAGATTGCCACTTGTTAAAATTGAAATATTACAATTTTAAACATATTGAAATTTAAAATAGCACAAAACAAACTTTACACCTTTTTTAAATATTTTTTTTCTCACCCCAAACACATTATTGGTGTTCTAGACTAGAGCTTGTTTTTCTGTATTTTTTTCCTTCCATGTTATTCTGCTCATTGAGTGCCTTCTTTATGCTGATTAGGGTTGGGGGAAAGTTGGGTATTGAGTATAAACTTTGGTTTTTTCTTTTTGCTTTTTTAATTGTGGGAACCATCTTATGTTGCAAATTGACTCTTTATTTTGGATAAATTACACTACTCTCTCTTAAAATTTGTGAAAAATGTATTGAGTCTTATAAATTTGACATAATTACATTAGACTCTTATAAGATTTTAATTCATAAAATATGTAGTTCTTTTTTCAACAATAATTTATTAA